GGAAAACATCAGAAACAGGGAACTGGGTATGAAACACGGAGTCTGTTGACTAAGGTGTGTGTTGAAGGGAAAAAAAATCTGGAAACTGTTATAGTTTAACAGTTAAGCATTTGGGTTCAAATCATAGTTCAGTTACATTTAGCAATTTTGTTGCCCTCTCTGAGACTCAGTTTCCTCATCCATAAAATGGAAATAGTATTGACTTTATGGGTTGGGAGGATTAAATGAGATAACATGTGTAAAGCATTTTAGCATAGTGCCTGGCACATAGAAAGTATTCAATAAATACTAGAGGCCTGGTGCATGAAATTTGTGCACTGGGGTGGGGGGGCATCCCTCAGCCTGGCCTGCACCCTCTCACAATATGGGACCCCTTAGCGGATGTCAGGGATCCCTGCAGGATCAGGCCTAAACTGGCAGTCAGATATCCCTCTAGCAATCTGGACTGCTGGCTCCTAACCGCTCGCCTGCCTGCCTGATCGCTCCTAACTGCTCACCTGCCTGCCTGATCACCCCTAAACCGCCTCTGCCTTGGCCTCCATCACTGCAGCTTCATCCGGAAGGTCGTTCAGCTGTCTGGTCTAATTAGCATATTATGTTTTTATTATTATAGACTAGAGGCCCAGTGCACAAAATTTGTGCCCCTCTGCACCCTCTTCAATCTGGGACATCCCTCTCACAATCCAGGATTGCTGGCTCCCAACCTTCCAGACGTCCTCTGAACAAAGCCATGGTGGTGGGGCCGAGGCAGAGGGGGTTAGGGGTGATCAGGCTGGTAGGGGGGCAGTTGGGGACAATCAGTCTGGCAGGGGTGGTCAGTTAGGGGCAAGTAGGCCATCAGTGGGGGTCAGTTGGAGGTGATCAGGACAGCAGGGGGGGCAGTTGGGGGTGAGCAGGCCAGAAGGGGGGCAGTTGGGGGAGACTCGGCTGTTGGGGGGCAGTTGGGGACAATCAGTCTAGCAGGGGTGGGCAGTTAGGGGTGATCAGGCCAGAAGGGGGAGCAGTTGGGGTTGATCAGGCCAGCAGGCAAAGTGGTTAGGGGCAATCAGGCAGGCAGGCAGGTGAACAGTTAGGAGCTAACGGTCCCGGTTTGTGAGCGGGATGTCCAACTGCCGGTTTAGGCCTGTGGCATTGGGCCTAAACCAGCAGTTGAACATCCCCTGAGGGGTCCCAGATTGAAGAGGGTGCAGGCCGGGCTGAGGGACATCCCCGCCCCCCCACAACTCCTGTGCATGAATTTTGTGCACTGGGCCACTAGTAAATTGTAATAGCCAAGATTTATTGAGTATGTATTCTGTACCAGGCACTGGATTAAACATGATCTTTACATAAATTTTACATAAATTTTATAAGAGAAGTATTATTGTTAGCTCTACTTTAGCTATGCTGTAACTAAAGCACAGAGAAGTCACATAATATTCCCAAGGTCGCATAGCATAGTAAATGCTGTGGGTTCAAAGACAGAATCTTATCCACTATTTGTTATTGCCTCATTGCTTAGGAAGTTTGTTTCTGAAAGGGAGAAAAGCACTGAACGTTGGTTTGAAAAGGTAGAGTTAAGGGTATTTCCCACCCCTTTTATATTGGGACATTTGGATTTATTTAAAGTCAGTAGAAAAGGAAGCTGCTAAGAGAGAGAAATAAAGGAAGGATGTTAGACAGGAAGAGTGTTTTTCTCTATATATGTCAAGTGCGGCTGGGAGACCACCCATGTCATTTGGGTGAGGGGTCGACTGACTGGAAGCGGGGTCTTCTGACAAAGTGAAAACTACAGGCATTGACTGAAAGGGACAAAGCCTGCTAAGGAGACCTGGAGGAGCAGCCCTAAGGAGTAAGCCAAGTGCTGAGGCCAGACTGCTGTGGGCACATTTGTGGGCAAGGTCCACTCCACTCCAGTGGCGGCCCTGTGTTGTCTGAAAGTGGGGGCCAAGAGAAAGGAGCAGTGGGAGTGGGAAGAGTTAACGAACCGGAGAGCCACCTTGAATGGAGATGCTGGATGGATGCATCGTGGGAGGTGGGGGTGGAGGGAGTCCAGTGTGGCCAGGGCAGGTGACATTTGGGGACAGGGTTGTTGGGGGCAGTTTGTGATTGGAAGAGAAGAGAGGTATGGAGCTGATGGCTAGGGAGGGAGCAGGGATGTGGCCTTGAGAATGTGGTCTCTGCTTCAAGAAGCTCAATAAACATTAAACCTAACTGTAACCCTAATATGACTTCTCAACCCATTCTATAGATGAGGAAACTGAGACTAAGGCAGGTTAGGTAATTTGCCAAAGGCCTCTCTGTAGATGTTTGAGCAGGGATTTAACACAGATGTTTTAGCTCTAAAGCCTGCAACATTCCCAGTAGTAAACCCTCATGAAGCCCCCACGTGGGAGAAGTAGGAACTGCCCCCAGAGTGATGGAGAAAATAGGCTGAGATTCCTGAATGTAGCTCCCATTCCAGTCCTACCACAGAGCCTCACTGAAGAAGGAGGAAGAATCCTAATGGGTGTTACAGGCTCAGAGCTGCAGGTGTGAAAAGGAAGGTCAGTCATGGCTCTCCAAGGGGCATGATATCTGGTCAGTCACCTGACCTGATGCTCAATCTTGGGAGAGGCAGATGATAACATCAGAACCCAGCACTGCAGTGCTTACCCCAGACCTATGGTTAGGTACCACGGGGCTTGGGGAGAAAGCACTGGGTGACCCGAAGCTACACTTTGCTTCCTTTGCCCTCTGGATGGCTTGCAGAGAATCGAGGGACCCTCCAGCTTTTTTTGTGAGCAGAGCAGAGAGAGTAGGCACAGGGAGGTGAGGCATGGCTAGGGTATTTCAATACCTTGATTGTCTCTCTTCCCATCCAGGGAAGAGCCCTCATAAATAGGGCCACCAAACGATGTCTGGAGTTAAAGAAGGCTTCCGGTTACTATATGCCTGTGATGCGGCCCTGCACCACACAAGTGTGGACAATCCAGCACACCATCGGAAATTGGGGGTCCAACTAGCTTCCAGCGATCCTCAGAGAGTCTAGATTTGAGACACCAATTCTTGCCACTGAATGGCTTCTACTCCCAATTCTGTTCAGAGTGCCAGCGGGTGAGAAAGAAAATGTGTGTGTGTGTGTTTACTGTGACTTCAGCCTGGGACACACAGGATGCGGTAGGGGAGGGCTGTGGATGTGTCCTGGAGTCCTGGCCGGGGAGAATAAGGAAACTACAACGCCTCACCCCAGCTTCCCTTGGAATTATATACATCAAACGCCATTTTTGGAAACTCCTTGAAATAACCACCTTCATCTGGCTGGCGTGTGGGGGAGAGGACCAGGAGGGTGGAAGATTATCTTTGACTTCCGTCAGCGCTGGCTGGTCTTCATTCCTGACGACTACGGTTGTCATCTGCCCCTCACCTTCTCCTCATCTGCTCGGAGCTACACCGTCTTGGGGCTGCCACACTGCAGAGGCCCAGTCATCACTGTGGCAGCGAGACACCTACTCAGGGGCCGCCCACTCTCTGAAGCCATGTCGCTGCTCCTACTCTCTTTTCTGGTCTGTCCTGAAAGATACAACAAATAGGCAAGGAATCTTAGAAATTCCTGTGTTTATCCACTCACGGCAGTTTTATTTGGTTGCCCAGTCTCTCCAGTACCAATTAGGTTCCAGAGGCTGAGCGCAGCTCATCCGCTTTGCACAGTGCAGAGAGAATGGTGGAGACATCCAAGTATCTGGATCATTCTCCAAGTAGCTCACACTATTTAATAATTTGATTACTCATTTCCTTCCACAATCTTGAAAATTAGAGAAAATGAGGTTTGAAACGGAGAGGCATCACTTACTGGGACACAAAGGAAGGACTGTAGGACAAACTTGAAACCAGGACTCCTTACTGACATCACTGGGTGAGTCCTTTCCTCCAGCTGGCGAGGTGGGAAGACATGTCCAGGGCAGCCAGTCTGGGCTAGGTTAGAGGATGGGAGCGGGCTCCATTGGGGAGGGAAGGTAGAATGACCGTGTGTGTGTGTGTGTGTGTGTGTGTGTGTGTGTGTGTGTGTTGTGGGCTCAGCTTTCAAGTATGAATTTACATGGCCCCTTCTTCAGGGGTCACTTTGCCCCCTTGTCTCACATCAGAGCTATGTGGGAATCATTAATTTCCCTTTAGACAATGGGTAAGCAAGACACTGTTAATTGAGTACAGAATTAAATCAGCTAGAACTTTAAAAAATAAGCGTTAGAAGTGTACAAGTCATAGTTGTACAGCTTGACAACATTTTCACGGTGAACATGGTGTCAAAAATGAAAACAATGCCACAGATAAGATTTTATCATGAAAAATTACAGAACAGGAAAAATGTTAAGCAAATGTATAACTTCTAGCTTTTCCCCAGCAAATTGAAAAAAAAATGCAATTACTAGCAAAGTTTTTCAAAAAGCATGTATCCAATAGAAAAATATACAAAAGACACAGTATCTTAAACATATGAAAAGATGTTTAACATCACTCATAGTTAGAGAAATGCAAATTAAAACTGTACTGAGATAATTTTTCACTTAAATTGGTGAAAATTAAGAAGTGTGACAAAACATTCTGTTGGCAAGATTATGAGAAGCACGGAGCCTCACATTGTGATGTAGGAGGGATATAGGGGTACAAGCTGGTTCAATCCTTTTGGAGAGATATTTGGCAATATCTAAAAAGATTATATGTACATTTTAAATTTGTGCCAATAATTCTACTTCAGGGAATTTACACCTCCAAAAAGAAGAAAATAGTTACATACAAAGTAATTGAGTGTTGATAAGTGTTAGAAACAAAGTGTATGCTCCAACATCAGAGAGTGGTTGAATACATCACCACAGTGGAGTACTATGCAGCTATAAAAAGAAGTAGACACATTTCTTTTGAATTGATATGGAGCAATTTTCAGTGTGAAAAAGGAAAAATGGCATCTATACTATGTATCTTTTAGGTAAGAAATAAGGTAAGAAATGTACCAGTTTATTTATGCAAAATGAAACATAAAGATAAATCAGAAATGACATTGCTCACTGATGGATGGTGGTTTGAAATAGTGTGGAAGGAACTGGGGAGGGGGATAGGGTAGAATGGCTGTGGGAGGAGGGATACTTCTCAAAATATACATTTTTTTTTATAGGCCAGCCTTTTAAAACCATGTTATATTCTGTATGCTCAAACATAAATACATAAAACCAGTAGGGAAATAGGGAAACACAATGGGATGCAAACAAACACAAGTGAACCTAACTATATTCCTCTAGTTTAAGTGAATACACACTCATTCTAACCATATTCAGCATTCAGCCTCCGATTCTCGATTCTGAAATATTTTTTCAGTAAGAGGAATTAGGGCTCCTTGGAGATATCACTGATTTTAGGCTTGGGGGGCTGGGATGTTTTGATGGGGACATGTCACAATTTACAGCAGCTAGGCTCTAGAGGTTCCCACTGGTCAGATCTTCGATAATTAAAAGAATTAAAATAAGTTATTTTTATTCAATATACTAGAGGTCTGGTGCATGGATTCGTGCACCGTTGGGGTCCCTTGGCCTGGCTTGCACCCTCTCGCAATCTGGTACCCCTCGGGTGATGTCAGAGGCCTAGTGCATGGATTTAGCCCAATTCCCACAGGCCAGGCTGAGGGACCCCACTGGTGCACAAATCTGTGCACCAGATCTCTAGTATGCATATGAGATCTTTGGTTAATCTCTTTCCACCATCTGCCTCCCCCCTTCCCTCTCAGATTCATCAGTCTGTTCCATGTTTCCATGCCTGTGCATTGAGCATCTGCCCCCTGGTGGTCAGTGCATGTCATAGCCACCAGGCAAATGGTCACTTAGGCTTTTATATATAGAAATTACAAGCCATACAATAAAATAAGAATCCACGAGTTCATACAAATGAATGCATGGATGAATGAATGGATAAACAAGGAAAAAAGAAAGTTCTTCTTTATGGCAGAATGCCAACTAAAAATTGTAGGAAGAATTATGGATTTGGAAAATTATTTGACAACCCACATAACTGAAGTTATTTCAGGCAAGAAACACCAATGGATGTTAAAAGTAGTGGGTGTTGAGAAACAGGATACATACATAACATCAGAGTAATTCCCCAGAAGGCATTTATTAACTACAAAGAAAAAATAGTAATTTCAATGTGGAGAAACCGGGCAGACACCATCCTAAGTGATCAATGTTCACATCACTAGTTACTAAAAAAATGGATATCACGTGCCTCTCAAAATGATTCACTCAGAAGAATACATCATTTCTATGGTATTCCTGACCAAAATACAGAACTTGAATCTATATCTTGAGGCAACATCAATTAAATCCAAATTGAGGGACATTCTTCAAAATAAATGGTCTGTATGCTTCAAAAATTTCAAAGTCAAAATACAAAGAAAGATTGAGGAACTTCCCCGGAATAAAGGGGACTAGAGGGACATAACAACTAAATGTAATGTGTGATTCTGTAGCAGAACCTGGGACTGAGGGCAAATTATTTTTCCTTTGGTTGTAAAGGATAGCAGGGGATAACTGGTGGAATTTAAGTAAAACTTGGTGATTAGCTAATAGTCCTGTATCAATGTTATCTTTCTGATTTTGATCATTGTACCCCAGCTATATGAAAATGTCCTTGATTTTATGAAAGATGGATTGGGGGGAATTATCTATGAGATTTTATATGTATGGATAGATAGATAGATAGATAGATAGATAGATAGATAGATAGGTAGATAGCAGTGAATGGACAGGTGGACAATAAACAAACAGATGGAACAAACAAATAGTTGAAGCAGAAAATAATAAAACAAATGGGGCAAAGTGAATCTGGATGAAAGGTAAGGGATATACAAATATTCTCTGTACTATGTTTGCAACTTTCCTATAAGTCTGAAATTATTTCAAAATAAAAAGATTTAAAAATGTCTGTCTAGATATACGTTAAATATAT